CCCCTCCCCCTTCCCTCTGACATCTGTCAGTCTGTTCCATGCTTCCATGTCTCTGGATCTATTTTGTTCATCAGTTTATTTTGTTCATTAGATTCCACATACAAGTGAGATCATGTGACACTTGTCTTTCTCTAACTGGCTTATTTCACTTAGCATAATACTCACCAAGTCCCTCCATATAGGAATCTCTTTCACGATCCCCATGGAAAGAGTTCCAATTCAGGGTTCGAGTTCTGAAGAAGGGCCGCACACAAATGAAAAGACTTGAGACTTGAAGAAATTCATTTTGGCGATATGGGGGGCCAGGCAGTAGTCCAACTATAGTGGGAGAACTACTCCTGCTCTGGCCCTGCCATCCTCTTTTATTGAGGCTTTGGGGAAAACATCTTAGGCAACATAAACAGAAATTTACATGTAGCCCTTAGGCAGGAAATAACAGACACTTACATGGGACAAACAAGGTGGAGGCTGCTTCAGCTGACAATGTCTCAACTAAAGGGTGAGTGGTTAGAGCAATTAAGGTTGTTGACCAGCCTTTCTGGCTTCCTGTCAACATCTCTTTTTAGTGAAACTGATTTGCTTGCCAGCACCTCCAGCCTGCTTCAAAGGGTAAGAAATCCTTCCTTTCTGCTGCTATATAGTATTCCATATAGTATTCTATGTGTCAATGTACCACAGCTTTTTTATCCACTCATCTATTCATGGGCACTTGGGCTGTTTCCATGTCTTGGCCATTTGAACACATTTTGTAGAGCTGGCTGCTGCAGGAACCATTTCTCCCCATGTTTACAGGCTGGGGTATCTAAAGCACACCAAGCACAGTCACTGCTTCAGAGGGCTGGCTATCTATAATACTTCAACACAGTGTGAGAGGAAGACTCCGTGGCTCCAGGCAGAGTGGAGAGCTAGCTCTGGTGATCTTGAGGATGAAGTTGCAAAGTTGTGTGTAAAGGAGCTTCTGGATGTTGGGCTAAGATGAAGCCCTTCATTTGGAAACAGGACAAGGTTAGGACGTTCAGAGCTCAACGACTGTGTCTGTGAAGATGGATAGCTGAGCCCTTCTCAGGAGGGCTTGGGAAAGTGCTTGGATACTATGTTATCTCCTCAATTTATGATTCACAAACCTGACTACTTATTTATTTATTTATTTATTTATTTATTTATTTATTTATTTAAAAATATGTTTTGATTTATTTCAGAGAGGAAGGGAGAAGGAGGGGGGTGGAGAGAGAGAGAGAGAGAGAGAGAGAGAGAGAGAGAGAGAGAGAGAGAGAGAGAGAAAGCGCACAAGCGCCATCAATCCGTTGTTTTTTATATGCTCCCAACCACGGATCAAACCTGCAACCTATAGGTATGTGCCCTGACCAGGAAGGGAATTGGCAACTTTTCACTGATGGTCCAACCAATGGAGTCACCTATCCAGGGTGCCTCATCTTATTTAATAAGTTTCAGGGAGTGGCTTTCTCTTGAATCCTGAAAAATCTAAAATTTGGGGTTTTCTCTGTGTAAGCTTACTAAGTATTCCTAGAGGTTTTCTTGATTAACACTCAAAGCAGTATAAGTTTCTGAAGCCCCAACAATTCCCTCTAGTGAGTAAACACATGGCAGCCTCTCTCCCTCATCTGCATCCGGGGTTTCTAATGAAGCCTTGGAGACCCGCTCTAGAGTCTTTGCATTCTACCTCTTTGTACCCGGAGGGATTTTCAAAGGCGTGTTCCCAGGAGGCTGGAGGCAAAGGGGTTTTCTCCTCTTGAGGAAAATAAACACCCACAGCTCCTGAAATCTGGAGTTTAAGAGACGGCATTTTTCCTGGGCCGCTTCCCCAGCCAAAGGAGCCAATGCCCGGCCTCCAGGAGCTCAGCAGTAATTTGAAGTTCTCTGATGCCAGAGAAAGCTGACTTTCCCTTGCTTTCTTGGTTTGGCTTCCACAACAAAGTGTTTCCCTGGGCTTCCTCTGAATAGAGTCAGCCTCTTCCATTCCTTTTAAAGAGCACTCTCTGGAGAGTGGCTCCTTCCTATGGCCAAGGTCAGGAGCAGTGAGTGAGTTGCTGTTGGCAGAACTAAATGCAAATGGAATGCCATGTATATTTTTCAAAATCTTATTCTTTTTTTTCTATGCTTTTCATCATTTGTTTGGTTGTATTGATTCCCATGTCCATTGATATTCTATTTCTTTATGCTCATCTTGCTGTGGCAATGGATTCAAGGACATGAAATTTAGCATGATAATGATCTCCAAATATTTTAAATACTATCCAGCTGGAAAGGAAGCAGAAGGTACGCTGCTGTGGGGAGGTGGAAAGTTGTAGGCAGACAGATATTAAATCAATATAATGTAACATTTTCTAAGAATTAAGGTCATTCAAAAATAGAATTAATGACACTATATCTATACGGATCTATAAATGGAATACTATGCACCATAGAAAATAAAATGTGAGGTGGATTTATAGTACTGTTATGGAAACAACATTTAAGAAATAATGTTATAATGTAAGAAATAATAAAACAATGTTATTATATAAGAAATAATACTTAAGTGAAAAAAACTATGAATTGGCGTGTCCCATAAAATTTTATTTGTATAAAATTGAAATTATATGGAAATATGCATAATTGTACATACAAAATTTCTAGGCAGAAATAAATAAATTTAAAAAACACACATGAATTATGTTTCCTTCTGGATTAGAGAATGCAAATTACAGAAGGAGAAAACTAACTTTCCCATTTGTATTTTACTTTACAGATGTCTTTTTCCTCCCTTAAGCACTTTTACAACAAAAAGCCTAGTTTTATATTTTTAAGTAAACTTAGTATCTTAAAAATAAAAGAGGGGGTACTAACTTGTAAGATAATAAATTTCCAATCATTGGAAGCACTGAAGCAGAATTTGGTGAACTATCTGTGAGCAATGCTGGGCTTTTAAAGTTACAGCCTAACTGTAAGTTCCTATGATTCAGTTCTAATGAAAGAACTTAAAGCTACAAAGAATATGAGTTTTTCCAGCTTGCTTCCAACTGGAAAGATGTGAATAATGAAATGGATAAGATTAACCCCTTGCTCAGGATAGCTTGTCAGGTCTCAGCAGAAAATATTTCTCTAGAAGGCAGTAATTTTCCATGTTTTAAACTGTGGGGAGATGTTTTAGGCTAAAGACCCAGAATATAAAGAAACAGAAAATGCGTTTCCCAGTGACATGGTTTCCCAGGTGGAGGCTGCTATGGTCTCAGGGACCATGATCACCTTGCAGTCTGAGTGCTCTCACCCATCAGGACCTCCCCATTGGAGGAGCCATTGTCTTCCTGAGGGGCGATGAGAGGGATCGTAACTGCAGTAATGCACAGCACATGCAGTCTGTTCTCCTCCATAGCCTGACTGAGGTTTTCTGTTCCTTTTAGTGTAGGTAGGGTTGATTTTCCTTTTCCATAGATCTGGGTTTTGTTCCAGTAATATTTTACCTATTTATCTAGATAATCCTAAAAATTTTCCAGTTTTCCTAATGATTTCCAATTTTTCCAATTTATCCCTCAATGTAATCTCATTTCTAGAGTAAGGCAAAAGTATTAATACTTGTTAATAGTCACCAAAGTAGCCTTCTATTTTTATCTGTTCACACTGGCGTTAGAATTAAAAGATTGAATCTATGATTTTTAAAATTTTAGACAAGTCCTAATCCTAGGTGTCTTAGATTTTCCATCTGCAAGATTAAGATAATAATTACCTAACACATGGGATTGCTATGCTATTAAATAATATATGTAAAAATGCTTTACAAACTAAAAACTGCAATAAGGGACTATTATTTTTGCTGTGGTTATCGTTATTCATTTTTTAATATGAGAACTTTGTGATCCCCAAATACCCCTCAAATAGAAAATAGGGGATATGTGCAACCTATTTATAATGTTGAAGAAATTAGAAAAGAGAGTTCAGAGTAGAATAGTGAGTCAGACTACCTATAAAAACTCATATGCAAGCACAAGCCACAAAACACAGAGAAATAACACATATTTTATGAGAATTAGTTACAGAGCATCACTAGCAATTGGAAAGGGCTTGGACTGATAGGTGTGAGAAGCCTTTCTCTGCAAGAGGAGACTGGAGTAAAGTATTGACTAAAGAGAAAAAATGCCTCATTAAAAACCAATACAAGAGCTTAAGAAACACACACACACACACACACACACACACACACACCCTCCTGGATACAGACAACAGGATGGTAAATCACCAGAGTGAAAGAGGGTTGGAAGGAGGTAAAGAGGGTAAAGGGGAGATGAAATGAAGAGGAAAGGAGACTTCACTTGGGTGGTAAATACACAATACAATATACATATGATATTCTGTAGGATTGTACACCAGAAATCTATATAATTTTATTCACCAATGTTGTGCCAATAAAAACTTTTTTTTCAAAATGGGGAGGGCAGTCAGGTTTGAGGCTATTGAATGATTTGTGAAAATGATTTATGAAAGACACAGACAAGTGGAACAGGGAGAAAGCAAACACTTCTCTGTTACTTAGCAGTTAAGAAGGGGAGATGTTTAAGATCAAACTTGTGCTTTAAACAAAGTAGAATAGATTGGCAAATTTGTTTTAGGTAAACAAAGCTATGCAACTGGAATCCAGGAGAAAATGCTTTGAAAACTTGACTAGGCATTTTCTATTTCTTTAGCCTTAGTTTCTCCCTAACACCTGTGTTCTCACTAATCAGGAAATCTGTTCTAAACTTGCCCAGTTATCCTTCCTTCTACCTTATTACAACTATGTGCACTTTTCTATATTGTTATACATGCATCTGCATAAATTAAATTACTTACTGGTTGTGTTTTTCTGTCTTTACCTATTAGTGAGCAGTAGACTTCATTTACCTGGCATCCATCCAGAAACAGGTTCTTACTATCTACTTCTAGAATTCTCCTGCTCAAAACATCAGGCGCCGATGTGTTCTGACTGATTGGACTAAGTCTGCAGCTTTCAGAGGTGGAATTTATCAATGAAGAGAGAGAACTACACAGTGGTGAGTGAATTTTTTTTCCAGGGTTTTTCCAGCTTTCACGAACACAAGCTTACTCTATTTGCAATATTTCTCACCTTGTATGTTTTAACCATGGCTGGCAATGTCATCATTGTGACAATTATCAGTATTGATCGTCATCTTCACACCCCCATGTACTTCTTTCTTAGTATGCTTTCAACCTCAGAAACAATATACACATTAGTCACTGTACCACCAATGCTCTCTGGCCTCATAAGACTAAGCCAGTCCATCTCCTTGGCTGGCTGTGCCACCCAGATGTTCTTTTTTATCACTTTGGCCATCAACAACTGCTTTCTACTCACAGCAATGGGGTATGACCGCTATGTCGCCATCTGCAAACCTTTGAGGTATACAGTCATCATGAACAAGAAGGTGTGCGCCCACCTGGTTTGGGGGGCCTGCAGCATTGGCCTGCTGGTGGCCATAATTCAGATTTCCTCTGTGTTCAGTCAGCCCTTTTGTGGTAAAGAGGTGGCCCATTATTTCTGTGACATCCGCCCAGTTGTGAAACTCTCCTGTGCTGACACCAATGTTCATGACATAATTACTTTTATCATCAGCTCACTTGTCATTATGGTACCCATGGGTTTGGTCTTCATCTCCTACTTCCTTATCATCTCCACCATCCTCAAGATTGCCTCAAGTGAGGGTCAAAAGAAGGCTTTTGCAACTTGTGCCTCCCACCTCATTGTGGTCATTGTACACTATGGCTGCGCCTCCATTGCCTACCTCAAGCCTGAGTCTGAGAACACCATGGGTCAGGATCAGCTGATCTCAGTGGCCTACACCATCTTTACTCCTCTCCTGAACCCTGTGGTCTACACTCTGAGAAACAAGGAGGTCAGGAATGCCCTTCACCGTGCTCTCAGCAGAAAACCTCCTGCCTAGGATCATAGGTAGTTTGGCATTAACCTATCATACTCTGGGTATTTTTGCAATCTGAGAAAAAAAGGTCTTATGTTAATTTTTATATGTATTTGTCCAGTTTTCCCATAATCATTTGTTGAAAAGGCTGTGTTTACCCAATTGTATAATATATTCTTGCACCCTTTGTCAGAGATGAATTGATCAGATAGGTTTGTGGTATCTTTTCTTCTGAGCTCTCTACTCTGTTCCATTGATCAATGTGTTAGTTTTCATGCCAGTGCCATGATGTTTTGTTTACTATGGCTTTGTAGTGTAATTTGAGATCAGGTAACATAATACCTCAAATTTTGTTCTTCTTTCTTAATATTGCTGTGCTATTCAGGGTCTTTTGTGTTTCCATGTAAGTTTTAAGATCATTTTTTGTAGTTCTATGAAAAATTCCAAAGGTGTTTGTATTGAATCTACAGATTGCTTTGGGTAATAAGGATATTTTAACCATGTTAATTCTGTTTATCTGTGGGCATTGTATATACTTCCATTTATTTGTATATTCAGTTTCTTCCTTCAATGTCTTCTAATATTTTGAATGCAGGTCTGTTACTTTCTTGGTTAGATGTATTTCTAGGTATTTTTTGTGTAACTGGAAAAGTGATTGTTTTATTCATTTCTCTTTCTTATTGTTATTGGTGTTAAAAATGCAACCAGCCTTAGCCAGTTTGGCTCAGTGAAGAGAGTGTCAGCCCACAGACTGAAGGGTCCTGATTTTGATTCCAGTCAAGGGCACACACCTCGGAAGTAGGCTTGATCCCCAGTCCGCGTTGAAGTATGTGAGGGAGGCAACCAATTAAACAAACAGAAACTTTATCTGTTTCTCCCTCTCCCTTTCATTCTTTATAGAAACCAATAGAAAGATATTCTTGGGTAAAGATTAAGAAAAAATTCAACTAATTTCTGAAGATTAATTTTCTGCTAGACTACTTTTTTATACCATTACAAGAATAATCTCAAAATGGATTAAAGATTTAAATATATGACCCTAAACCATAAAACCCTTAGAAGAAAACAATAAACTTTCTGACAAAGCTGTCAGTAACTTTTTTTTTTTAATGTTTCCTCAGGCAAGGGAAACAAAAGTAAAATAAACACATTAGACTGCATCAAGCTAAAAAGTTTTGCACAACAAAGGAAACCATCAACAAAATTAAAAGGCAGCCTACTGAATGGAAGAAAGTATTTGCCAGTAATGAAATTAATATTCAATTTGTAAAAAGAACTCATATGATATAACAGAAATAAATAAATGAATTAATAAATGAATTAATAATCAATCCAATTTAAAAATGGGTAGAGGAACTGAATAGACATAAAGATGGTCAATAAACATGAAAAGTTGCTCAATATCAATGATCATCAGAGAAATGTACATTAAAACCACAATAAAAATCACTGCACACCTATCAGAATAGTTGGAATTCCCTCTCATAATCTGGGACTGCTGGCTCCTAACCATTCGCCTACCTACCTACCTGATTGCCCCTAACCCAGTGATTCTCAACCTTCCTAATGCCGTGACCCTTTAATACAGTTCCTCATGTAGTGGTGAACCCCAACCATAAAATTATTTTTGTTGCTACTTCATAACTAATTTTGCTACTGTTATGAATTGTAATGTAAATATTTGATATGCAGGATGTCTTGGGCAACCCATGTGAAAGGGTCATTCGACCCCCAAAGGTGTTGCAACCCACAGGTTGAGAACCGCTGCCCTAACCACTCTACATGTCAGCCTGAAAGCCCTCTAACTACTTACCTGCTGGCCTGATTGACGCTTAACTTCTCCCCTGCTGGCATGATCACCTCCAACTGCCCTCCCTTTCAGAACTGAGGGGACTTGGGGATTCTGGATGGATGAGGCAGGGCTGAGTAGAATGGGCACCATTATCTTGTGGCTGTGGGCACCACCATCTTTTGTGAGGGTGTGATGGTCAATTAGCATATTCCCTCTTTATTAGATAAGATAGGTTTCCAATTTTGTTGAAGCTCATATTAGAGCTATTTCCTTGGTGAGTCTTGTATGTTTACATGTTCGTAAGTAACTTGTTACATCCAGCAACTGAATTCCTCTGCAGTTATATATGCTTTGTACCGAGTGATGCATATGCTCTTCTGTACTCACAGTGTAGAGAGATCTAAAAATATTTTTGAAATTAAATTAATTATTTCCACCTCTCAACCAGCTCTGGCTTTCTCAGATTTGAAAATCAGCCCATGACTTTCGGTCTTTCCTGTGTGGAACCTGAGCTGGTACCTTTGTCTTGTCTTGACCCTCATCATTTCTACATAAGTGGACTCATTTTCTGTGAACAGTTGGGTACCTAGGTTAAACTCGCCGTTTAAACATTTGTCTAAGCAAGTCTGAGGATCTCCCAATGCGTCTTGTTTTTGCTTTCTAAAACGGAAAGTTGTTCTGATATGTGAAAAATGTTTAAGGCTTTAGGATTATTTGGCCTTGAGTAAAGTGAGGCAGAACTTGCCAAATGACTGCTGGTACATAAAGCGCTGATGTTTAAAAAATAATACTAATAATATTCTGTACCTGCCACTCATCATCCTTCTCCTGCTTAAAGACAGTCCAAAACTGCATTGAAAGTGCATGTCAAATCCAGGACTTGGGAATCCCTGATAGCAGAAGGGCCAATAAGAGAAATATTCATGTTTAGGGGGCATTGCCTTAAAAAAAAAGATTTGCCTCCTCAGAACAGCTATCTCTAAGAGAGCAACCTGAGAGTGAGTGTGAAGAGGACCTTTTGGGAAGCTTTCTGCTGCCTTTATGTTCTCTGGGAACCCTTCTGCATCTTTTCTCGGTAGGTTCAAGGGAAACACTCTTACAACGCTACTTCTGATAAAGCCCCATTTGAGATTCTGGCTTTGGGAGTCCTGCCGACTATAGTAACCTAATCCTGAAAGCCTCTGCCCACTGTGATGCTATTTTTATAGATTGTTGATTTGTTGCATACAGAACCCTATAAGACCTCCTGCCGTTGTACAGGGCTGTGTGTTCCCCTCAGATCCTACAGTTGGGTAATGCAGAAAATTATGACATGATTCACCCAAAGTAATGTTTGCACAATACGGAATGAGTCGAAAGGCCTACCTATGTCTTGTTTTTTGTTTCTTTCCATTTATTGTCATTATTGAAAGTATTACTGATGTTCCCCTCCCCACCCACCCCCATTGACCCCTTCCATCCCACTCCTTCCCATCCCCAGGCCTTCTGTTCATGGGTTATGCATATATGCATGTAGGTTACTTGGTTAATCTCTTCCTTCTACCCCTCCCCCTTCCCTCTGACATCTGTCAGTCTGTTCCATGCTTCCATGTCTCTGGATCTATTTTGTTCACCAGTTTATGTTATTCATTAGATTCCACATACAAGTGGGATCAGGTGATACTTGTCTTTCTCTAACTGGTATACTTCACTTAGCATAATACTCACTGAGTCACTCCATGCTGCCTCAAGGTATAAGAAATCCTTCTTTTTCGTTGCTATATAGTATTCCATATAGTATTCTATGTGTCAATGTACCACAGTTTTTTTATCCACTCATCTATTCATGGGCACTTGGGCTGTTTCTATGTCTTGGCCATTTGAGCACATTTTGTAGAGCTGGCTGCTGCAGGAACCATTTCTCCAGCACACCAAGCACAGTCACTGCTTCAGAGGGCTGGCTATCTATTTCAAAATAGCGTGAGATGAAGACCCCATGGCTCAAGGCAGAGTGGAGAGCTAGCTCTGGTGATCATGAGGATGAAGTTGTAAAGTTGTGTGTAAAGGAGCTTCTGGATGTTGGGCTAAGATGAAGCCCTTCATTTGGAAACAGGACATGGTTAGGACATTAAGAGCTCAACGACTGTGTCTGTGAAGATGGATAGCTGAGTCCTTCTCAGGAGGGCTTGGGAAAGTGTTTGGATACTATGTTATCACCTCAATTTATGTTTTACAAACCTGACTATTTTTGTTGATTTTAGAGAAGAAGGGAGAGGGAAAGAGAGAGAGAGAGAGAGAGAGAGAGAGAGAGAGAGAGAGAGAGATAGATCAATGATGAGAAAGAATCACTGATCGGCTGCCTCCTGCACACACCACACAGGATATTGAGCCCATAACCCAGGCGTGTGCCCTGATCAAGTTCTAACCATGACCTCCTGGTTCAGAGGTCTGCTCTCAACCACTGAGCTACACCAGCCAGGCTTGACTGTTATAAACATGATATCCAGGTTATTTGTTTCTTTGTCTCCAATAACAACTTTGTAAGTTGCTGTGTCCGTTCTTCTATTTTTATTTATTACACATTAGAAGACTTTAATGTTCAAGAACATAGGGGTCATGTATATTTCCCCCTCATAGCTGACTCTCCATCATCTATCACTGTGATTAATTTATAGTAACAGCCCTAAAACTACTTATGGAATGAAGTAACCTGGGTTTTTTTTTTTTCAAGTTGCTTAGAGTTAATAAAGTTGTGTGAGTTAAGTCTCCCAGTTGCAAACAACCAAAGCCACTGTAGGTAATTGTAGTAATCTATATCCATTTAACTATGCTGCATGATAAACCACCTCAAAATTCAGTTTTTAAAACAGTAAACACCGATTTAGTTCATGAATCTTTGGGTTGCTTTGGGCTTAGTGATTATTCTGATTTCAGAGGTTGATTATCAGCAAGTCAGTTAGCTCTTGGACAATAACATATCGGGTCTAGTAATAATGAATGTCGTTTTTAAACATTAGTTTAAAATCTTGCTTGGCGTTGACTTGTATTGACATAACCTTCAAACACGTGGTATCTACAGAACGTGTGAAGTGCAATTAACAAGTTTTGCTTGAAAAAGTTTGTGTTTTGTTTGGTTTTTGTTGCAAAACTAGGGCTAAGAAGATGGCGGATGAAGAGCACATTCGGCACTGCATGCTTTACGAGTTCCAATTAGGAAGAAAAGCAAGTGAGGCTGCAAAAAACATCTGTAGTG